AAATAAATTTTTTTTAAAAAAAGCAACCAGCAAATGCATAAATACGTGGAGGAAAAAAATCAATGTTTCTCTCTCCCTTCCTTTCTCTCTAAAATCAATAAATTTTTTTAAAGTTTTATTAAATACTAAAGGTCATTAGCTTAACTGGTCTTATAGCTTGTGTTCTGCTATGTCAAAGCTTCATTAGTGAGAAGAACCATACATATTTTTTGGAACCCTTTTTAGACACTTCTGATATGTATCAGCATATATTTACATATTGGGTAGATATAACTGAGGTGCAGCATGGCCTTTCATTTATGTAACAAATATTAAGTCCAACTAAATTACTTATTTTGAAGATTATTAAAAGAGATATGGTCATTTCTTACTTTGAAAAGTCATTTAAATGAGCAGCCTCCCATAAATTTTAATTTCCATTTGAAAAGTTTAATCGCTAACCTGAAAGGAAGAATGTACTATTTCACAATCAGAAAAAAGAAAAAATCAAGTCTCCCAGCTAAATCTTCTATGTAGGGAAGAAAATGGTTTCATAGCGCCACCTAATGATAAAGCTATAAAAGTGAAATGTATAAACAATTTGAGCAGGGAAGAGTCATTAATTCAACAAATATTTAGTGGGTGCCTACTGTGTGTCAAGCTAAGTGTTAAAAACATAGTAATGAGAAAAAAATATAGTCCCTGCTTTCAAGGAACTTACATTTTAATTTTTAAATGTGCCTGGTCAGTCATCCTAAAATCAAGTCCACTCAGGGTAGTTAGGGGCAGAAAAGAAGTTGCTTTCACTTATATGTATATTCCTATGTTCCCTATATTCATTCATTTGCTCATTCGTTTGACCACTCATTTATACAATGATCTCAGGGAATAAAATAGACAAAAACCTCTGCCCTTGTGAAGCTTACTTATTGCTTCTATGTATCAAGATCAGATACAAATCCTATTAATTCTATCTGCTGAACATCTCTTGCACCTTTTTCTTTCTCTCCTTTCCCACTGTCATAGGGCAAATCTTCATGGTATTATGCTGTACTACTACAATAACCTCCCTAAGGTTCGCCTGCCTTGAATGTTTCCCTTCTCCAATTCATCCGCACACAGAGCCAGCAGTTAGCTTTTGTGTTAAGTCTACTTAAAAGCCTTCACCAATCCTGGCCGGTTTGGCTCAGTGGATAGAGCATCGGCCTGCGGACTGAAGGGTCCCAGGTTCGATTCCAGTCAAGGGCACATGCCTGGATTGCGGGCTCGGTCCAATGTGCAGGAGGCAGCCAATCAATGATTCCCTCTCATCATTGATGTTTCTGTCTCTCTCTTCCTCTCCCTTCCTCTCTGAAATCAGTAAAAATACATTAAAAAAAAAAAAAACCTTCACCAGTTCCCCATTATCTACAACAGTGGTTCTCAACTTGTGGGTCGCAACCACTTTGGCGGTCAAATGACCCTTTCACAGAGGTCGCCTAAGACCATCCTGCATATCAGATATTTACATTATGATTCATAACAGTGGCAACATTACAGTTATGAAGTAGCAATGAAAATAATTTTATGATTGGGTCACAACATGAGGATCTGTATTTAAAGGGCCCGAAGGTTGAGAACCACTGACCTACAAGGTAAAGTACAAATTCTTCAGCACATCCTACAGGGCTCTCTGTGATCTGACCCCAACTTATCTTTCTGACCATATCCGCCATTAGTTTTCCCACTTCTGACATTTTCAAAACATAGCACTCCTTTGTGCCTTTGCACATGCTGTTTCCTCTCCTTGAAATGTCCTTCCTACTTCCTTTCTGTCTAGCACATTCTCATTTATTACATGCATTTAACAACCTAGTGTGTTATGTCTACTCCCACTTCCCAAAGAATATAGTGTCCTTGTCCATTTCCTTCCATTAACGATGAGTTGCTAAATGGTAAGGACCATGTCCTTGCATCTATTTCCTGGCATTTGGCATAGTGGTTGACATTTATCAAGAGCCCATGAAAAAAGCAGATTATAACTATTTTCCCTCACAGTTATAAGGGGGAAAGGGGACAAAGATATACATACTCCACCCAGGTTACCACCCTGTCAGGAAATCTATGTGTTAATCTATAAATTGATTAATCCTATTGCTAAAGGCAGTTTGTGCCAATCAATAAAGCAATTCCAAAGTGACCTTAGAGAAAAAGAGTCAGATAAAGACACAGTAAAGGCTGTATAGCTTGAACTTCTAGATCAGCCGTGGGCAAACTACGGCCCGTTTGAAAAAAAAAAAAAAGACCGTACCCTTTAACGTAATGATGTTTACTTTGAATTTATATTAGTTCACACAAACACTCCATCCATGCTTTTGTTCCGGCCCTCTGGTCCAGTTTAAGAACCCATTGTGGCCCTCGAGTCAAAAAGTTTGCCCACCCCTATTCTAGATGGTTCTGATGCACTCCCTCTTCCCTACAATTACTCTAATAATATTTGAGAAATCCAATGTTACTGTTTTTAATGTCTTAATACATAAACCAGAAAGTACAATATAGTAACTCTGAGGAGATAACTACTACTTAGGGATGTGCAAAAGTAGGCTTATAGTTGTGAGTACACAAAACAGTTTATTCTTGTATTATTATTTATTATGATATTATTTGTATTACAACTGTAAACCTACTTTTGCCTATCCCTGTAATAATCCCAAGTCTTCTGGGCAAAGTATTATCTCAATGTTGAGAAAAAAATTACAACCACAGAGGGTTATTTGATGGGCTTGGGATCAGCTCAGGGTATCTGAATAATCAGAACAGTTAAAAGTGGTATTAAACTATGCTGGTCAGATCTCTGTAATATCACTATACAAAACACGCTGGCCCACTTCTTCAGGACACTGCTGAAGAATTGTGCCTCTTTCCCCACACTGATCATTATTATTTTTCTACTGATTTTTTTCTTCCTACACTGAACATTTTCTTTCTACCAAAAACTTGGGATTTCTTTAGATATGTCAATAACATTAGTTAGGGTACAATCAAGTCTGCTTTGGACCAGGAAAATGTTCTGTCATTCTAAGGAGCTCTCTCTAAATATTGATCTCATACTTGACATAGTATTCTTATAGTTTAACTTCACATTCTAAGGGTACTTCACTGTTTAAGGATTACTTGTAAAAATACGACTTGATTCATAAGGTATTAACCACAGGAATTCTCTGGGCCTTTTTCTTCATCTGGGGATAGTTTCACAGTATTTTCCAAGCAACTATTGACAAGGGTACTTTTAAAGATTGATCTGATGAAAGTCTCGTTGAGATGCCAGACAGAAATATAAAGATCAAGGTATCTACTATGTTGTTTTCCTCAGACTACAACCAATAGTCTTCTAGATTCGTTTTCTCTCCCCCCTCCCAGTAAAATACATTTTAAAGAGAAGTAACACTGAAAATGAGGACTCAAAATAAAATAGCTACAAAAATAACTCAGAAATTAGCAACCAAAGGAGAAAGTTACATCACTTACCCCTGAAACAATCATCTGAAGCTTCTTGCCATGCCTGCCCATTAATGCTGACATTCTCTTGCACAGCAGATTCAAAAGTCTGCAATACATTCACAATAGTAATGTCACTAAAAATAACTTTAAATACTGAATCTAAACATTTTGGCAAGATAATCTGTTTGTTTTTTGTCAATCCTCGCCGAGGATATTTTTTCCACTGATTGCTAGAATGGAAGGGAAAGAAGATGGGAAGAGAAAGAAACATTGATGTGAGAGAGACACATGGGTTGGTTGCCTCCCAACATGCCCCAACCGGGGGCGGGGATCACACCTACAACCCAGGTATGTGCTACCCTTGACTGGAATCAAACCCTTTGGTGTGTAGGCCAACACTCTAACCACTGAGGAATGCCTGCCAGGGCATAATTTCAGATTTGTGAAAGAGAATATTTAAAAAGTGGCAGACTAGCCTATTAGTATACTATTTTCAATGAAGATTCCATTGCAATTAATTCTACCTACACTTTCACTGATAGCCATTAAGCTACCGATGAGATAATTCAATCCAAAATTTTAGAATATTCTTTCAAACAAAAACATATATACTTCTTAAATGAAATAAAAGCTAACAAATTTGGGCTCAGTTGAATCTCAAGAGTGTAAGTACTACATATGCTGTGAATGAACGTCATTGTTAACAAGAAGAAAAATATATATGCTTAAAAGAAAGTGATATTATGTCTGCTTTATAAAGGACTGTATTTTTTAGAGATGTATATTGAAATATGTAGGATGAAATGACATGACATCTCGAATTTGTGTGAAAATTAGAAGTAACAAATTTTTGATAACTGTTAAATTTGGTGATGGATATATGGGTGTTCTCTGTACTAGTCTATTTTTTTGTAGGGGGGAAGGCAGAGAGGGTTGGTGGGTGGAAGGTAATCAACCAAAGACCTTATATGCATACATGCATAACCATGGACACAGATAATAGGGTGCTGAAGGCCTGGAGCAGGGGTAGGGGGGTGAGGGCGGGCTGGAGGGAGTCAATGGGGGGAAAAGGGACATATATATTTTCAACAATAAAGAATTATTTTTTTAAATGTTAATACATTAAAAAATAAAGGACTGCCCTGGCCAGTGTTGCTCAATGGTATCAGCCTGCAAACTTAAGGGTCAGGGGTTCAATTCACTTCCCAGCCCTGTTCGGGGCATGTGCAGGAGGCAACCAACCAATGTGTTTCTCTCACATCGATGTTTCTCTCTCTTGCCCTCCCCCGCCCGCCGACCCCCGCCTCCACTCTTTTTCAATGGTAAAAAAATCCTAGGGTGAGGATTAACAAAAAGTAAAAAGAAAATAAAAGAGTAAAGGAATATGGAAGCACCACTAAAATTTTGAATGCACATTCCCTATTATCTAACAACTAGAAGCCCCGTGCACAAAATTCATGCACAGGTAGGGTCCCTAGACCTGGCTGGAGATCAGGGCCAATCTGTGGGGCAACCGGCAGGGTGAACAGGGGCCCCCACTAGCACCCACCTTGACTGGCCTTGGGGCCTGCAGGCTGGGGACAGCTCCTGTGTTGAGCGTCTGTCCCTTGGTGGTCAGTGCACATCATAGCGACTGGTCATCTCATTATATAGGATGAGAATAGTCCTTTAGATTAGGATACATTGCTAGAACTGAAATCCTATATAATAAAAGCCTAATATGCAAATTGACCAAACGGCTGAACGACCGGTTGCTATGATACACAATGACCACCAAGGGGCAGACACTCATCGCAGGAGCTGCCCCCTGGTGGTCAGTGTGCTCCCACAGGGGGAGCACTGCTCAGCCAGAAACCAGGCTCATGGCTGGCAAGCATAGTGGCGGGAGCCTCTCCCGCCTCCGCAGCAGCACTAAGGACCCCTTGGGGGTCCCAGACTGCGAGAGGTCACAGGCCAGGCTGAGGGTCCCCCTTCCCCCGCCCCAGTACACAAATGTCATGCACCGGGCCTCTAGTAAGAACATAAAGAGGATGCACTAGGAATGTTTATTTTAGCACTGTTTGAAATTATAAAATACTGAGGAGAAAAATCACCAAATTTAAATTCAAAATTAGAAGAATGGTTAAATATTCACTATATCCATACCATGCAATACTTAAAAAGAATGAAGTATATTTGTACATAATACTGACAGACATATTTGGTAAAAGAAAAAAAAATGGGGGAGAGCAGGTTGCTAACAATACATCAGCATGACACTTAATGTATAAAACAAAACAAAAAAACAGAGAGGGGGAAAGAGAGAAAGTGAGAGAGAGAGATGTAAAACCATAAAGAAGGGTGTAGAAGGATTATAACCTCTATGTACCCTCCAAAATAGTAAATTTTTTCCAGGAAAGAAGAAGGATGGGGAAGGGAAATTCGAAGACTTTGCTTTATGTTATTTTTTTTTTTTTTACAATGAGGATATATTTGGTATTTTGTATAATTAAAAATAAGCGTAAATCAAATAATGCATAATTATGAAATAAAGTACGTTATTTTACACTTTAAAATTTTTATAGAGTAAAATATTTACTTTATATGTGGACTTCCAAGGATTATCTGGGAATACAAATTGTCATTGTAGTAGTGGCACAATTGTACCAATACTATTTTTTTAAGAAAATCTGTTACTATATTAGGTGGTTTTAGACAGAGGTACATGAACATAATTAAAGCCTCTGCTTTTTATTTGTTCTCCTATTTAAAATAAAACACAAGTCGATTCCCTTGGTCGTTTACCTTCACAGTTCCTAGAAAGGGACAACCTCTAAGATCGTTACACAATAAAACAGTCTCCTTCCCAAAAAACCACTGAGAGCGTCTATTCTTCCCTTGGTTACAGAAGGGAATAAGAGCCACTGTTTACACAAAACGGGAATACAGCACAGCTCGGGGAGTATTTCTTCATTCGCCTTCCACTTCACCTTTATTTTTATCGTTTGCATTGTGATCATTCACGCTCACCGGTGTGCTGCATTTAAAATTTTTAAGCTTTTTTTTTCTACATATAAAATGTGTGCTTTGTTATGACAGCCACCAACCCCTCCATTTGTTGTACCTTTCCCCTCAAAAAAAAAAAAAAAAACCAACAAAACTATCTTCAAAGGCTTTACAAAATATTTGAGAAAGGAGGGGGAAATGTGCTCTAAGGGCCAGTTATGATCTTAGAAGTTTATAATCAAGACAGCTTCCTTATCTGGTTTAGACTTATAGGGGAGATGTTTTCACTCTCTTCACAAGATATTCTTTAAAAAACAGGCAAAAGGAAAGGCCAAAAGCTAGCCTGGTGCCTGGTGCCCGACTGACTTCCAGGATTCCCGTTCCCGGAGAAATCCTCCCGGGTCTTCGTGCACGCGAACGGGGCGCTGCCAGGCCTTGAAAGGCGGCTCATCCCAAAGAAGATGAGCTGTACGTTTCGGACACCAAATGCGAAAAGCCGGGCACTGACAAAAGCACGAAAAATATCTCCCTCGGGTTTTTGAAAGTATTATTATTAAATTAAAACGCTATCTTGGTCATAGTGAGTTAAGTAAAACATGTTATTGCAGTGAATTTCACCTGTCTCTTCTAACTTTTAGTAAGTTACCTACATAGCTCGCCTTGTTCTTTTCTATTGGGCAGCGTGGGTCTCTCTAGGTAATTAATGCCCGGCGGCCACTAGATCTATTGCGTCCCCTCGCGCTCCTCGGGCTGCTTTTCCTGAGCGTGGGCACCGCTAACTCTGCCCGCGCAGCCTCTCGAGCCCCGAGACCGGGGAAGAGGGTGAAACGACAAGTGCCGGCTTTTGGGCCCGTACCCACTGCGCGTCTCGCAGCGCGGGCTCCCGAATCTCCTCCGGCAGCGCGTCCCCGAGCTGTCGCACGAAGCGGCCGCACAGTTCCATCAGCTCCAGCACGGCCTGCTTCGAGGTGCAGCGCACGCGGAAGTCCTCGCGGGGAGTGGCGGGGCCCGGGGTGCGGTCTTCTGTCCCGGCCGCTCGCTCCACGT